CCAAAGTATGCGGTTCCTGATCAAGAGCTCCAAGATTCCACAGCCGCACTATCTTGTCATTGCCACCTGATACTAGTTTGGTGCCATTCGGAGAAAAGGCCACTGAACAAACGCCGGTGTGTCTTAAAATGTGAGTTTCCTGATACGGGGCCTTTAGAGACCACAACCGCACCGTATCATCATCACTGCTCAATGCCAGTTGGTCACCATTTGGAGAGATAGCCATATTTGTAACCCAATCAGTATATTTTGTTAGAACGAGTTGTTCCGGTTCCGGAGTCTTGAGGGACCACAGCCGAACCGTTCTATCATAGCTACCGGACACTAGTTGGGAACCATCTGGAGAGATTACCACACTTGCAACCAAGTCAGTGTGCCCTTTTAGAATGAGTGGCTTTTTATCTGCTGTCTTAAGGGGCCACAGAATCACCTCATGTTTTTCACTGCCCGATGCCAGCCGAGTGCTGTCTCGAGAGAAAAACACTGCACAGACACCACTATCGTGTTGTATAAAGTCCAGTTCCTGATACGGGGTTTTAAGGGACCATAGTCGCACCGTATTATCTTCGCTGCCCGACGCCAGTTGAGTACTATCTGAAGAAATATTCACGCTTGTAACCTGACCAGTATGCCCTTCAAACGTGTGAATATTCTCTAATGTCTCGGTATCATAAAGATAAATTTTCTTTTCGCTAGCAATAACGAGCAAATTTCCATCAGGGGAAAAACAACAACATTGACATCGATGTTTTAAAAAAGGCATTTCACCGAATTGCACCCCCGACATATTAGTCTCGCTAAAATCTGCGCACCGCAACCACGCCATCTGGAAATTGACATTTCTTAAATCTGCCTTTTTAAATTGAGTGTGGTCAAACACTCCGTGACTTAAATCCGCTCCGGCAATTTTGATACCACTTAAATCTTGGTTACTAAAGACTACGCCGGTTTTATTTAAAATTGTAATTGCATTAGCTGCAGCAAAGTGAAATTCTTTAGCTGCATCATTGTGCAATTCTTTATCTGTTTTCGAATTATCAATAAACATACGAAGGTTATCTTTAAATTCATTATTCTGTTGTGCATACTCGACTAAAAAGCGAACGATTCCGGGCTCGTGTAGTATTGATTCTTTCTCAAATAGCACAGATCCGCCTTGATTGCATACATCATCATAAATATCCCGAGCGACAAAATATTCAAATAAGGATTTGTGAATAAAACTATGATTGTTGTTTTTGACGTTTAAAGGAGAGGCGCGACGCAAAATGAGTGTTTTTGGATCTTCATTTCCAAAAAATTGGGCACCCCAATTTTGTTTTTTGTTAGATGCTGAATATTCTACAGATGTTTCAAACATCTTAACTGCTAGAGCCTTGTTAAACTGTATACAATGATCCTCAAAACCAATATCATCCTCTTCTAATTTTTGGAAGATATCTTTCTCTTCGTCATTTTTTTTAATGCCATATAAACGGTCTTTAGATCGATTAAACCAATCCTCAACAAATTGATTGTACAAAGTTAAACGTGTTATATTTTTTGCCAGGTCCTCGTTTTTTTTATGTTGATCCATTAGTTTTGGCATGACTTCCATAGAAATTCTTAAAATAAACGGGTTGCCCAATAAGTGAGGTATGCGATTCAAAACTCCTACATAATCATGCACTTTCCATGACAACTCCTTGGACTTTTCAACATATTTTTCAATATATTCTTGAATTTTCTCTTTGGAAAAGGGAGCTATCCTCATTTCTTGAAAATTATTGGGATTTTGAAGCGGTATGAATTTGTCTTCATAGCGTTTACCTAAATACTCCGGTCGACAACTAATAATGACTTTGGCATCCCACATATCGAGTTTGTTGCTATCGTATAATTTTGATTGACGGTCTTTGATCTCGTCGTATCCATCCAATATAAACACAAAACTATAATATTTTTTAAAATCTTTAATAATTTTATCGGTGTATTCCTTTCCTTTCAAATAATTTTCTATCAGTTTGTTATACGGATCTACAATATCTCTAAGCGAAATAAATAGTGGAATATGTTTGTTTTTTAATGAATAATCCTCCCAAAGACGACGAACGAGGTAACGATTAAAAGTAGACTTTCCGGCACCAGACTCGCCTAAAAGCAATAGGACCTTTTTTTCTGACACTATGAACTCGTTAACCTTGGTCTCTAAATCAAAAGGGTCCTCTTTATTTAAAGACATCTTTCCTTGTGGTGGAATATATAAGTCTAATGCGTTGTTAATTTCTTTATTCTTCCCAAGTTCACTCAAATATTCTACTTTAAGTTTGTCTACTTGCGGTATCACTTCAGATAAAAAACTAGAATTATCATTAATTTTCCTGATGGGATTACATATATACGACACGTACATGTCACACTTGTGAGTATCTTCATTAACGTTAAGGGTTACTTCGTCATATATCTGCTTGGCATTATTTTGTAAATCTTTTACATCATTCTGATTTGCTAACAGTCGTAAAATCGCTAACGCCCATTTTGTAACATCCGAATGTTGGCCCCACTCAGGTTTATCTCGGCAGAAGTCAGCTAAAAACCTAACCGCTCCTTTCCGAATTTCTAAATCCCGATGCGTACAGGCAACCTGTCCTAAGCGTTGACACAGACCCACTAAGAACCATTTGTGATTTTGATAAGAGGTTAAGCGTACAACTTGTTCAAGTTCCATTAATTTATTTTCCTGAAGAAGGATGTCTATACATCGCAGAGCTAAATACCAAAAACGCGTTTCCTTTTTAGGCTCCCAGAAGATACTTGCTATCTCTTTTCCTGACTCACTGCCTTCTTCGAGAAGATCCCGAGAGAAAATTAAAAGATCCTTAATATTATCAAATGCCTCATTAAAATCTTCAATGGAATCAAATGCTTTTCCGAGGTCTAAATGACTGCACGCGCTGACTACACTCACAACACCTTTAGTAAATTTTAATGTTTGTAGCATAATCATTTTCCATAGTTTTTCGTCATGTGTGATAAGTAATAGTGCTTGACACGCGTAGCGAGCGTGATAAGCTAATACTGGATCATCTTTTAACTCTCTAAACTGTTTATATAGTGGCATTTGCAAATCTTTATGACTAACATCTCTGACGCCTACTCGTACCATAACATCTAATAGCTGACAGATCGTTTGTAATAGTTCGCAGATATTATCCTCAATTTCTTGCTTATGTCGCCCTTTTAGACGATTATATAAAGTATCTAATATCTTCACTAAATTCCCCAAATTAACCTTATCAGGCAGGTTTTGAATCACTTGGGATAAGAAAAAAATATCGTTTAAAATTAGAATTGTTGAATTTTCAATTTGCGTAACACTTTGCTTTTGCAACTTTTCATAAATTTCTATACTCGGGATAGAGGCCAAGACGGCAACTTCGTTGATGTCCTCTTTCGTTTTACATTCTTTCTTCATGAATAGTTCAATAATATCATATGCTAATGATTGTAATTGTTGCTCTTGTTCCGAAGTATGGTTTTGGGATTGCAAATAATAGGCCAAATCACGGGTGCTGTTAATGTCACGCAGGTTTGAATAGGGCGCTATCACTGGATTTTTGGTAAAAAACTCCGGTTTTGGTAAATTTTCCTTATCAAAATTTTGTACAAAGGCCGACGTCGTTGATTGAATTAAGGAAGTTGATAAATTCGGCCTGGTCAATATGTTTTCTGTACGTAAGTTTGTTTTTTGCACCGAGATTTTCGAGCCTTTTCTGTTCGATTTCTCGAGACACTGAGGATCATTTTTCCGAGCCTTCTTATAACATTCATCTTTTTTACCGGAATTCCCTAGTTTTTCGTAGATATCTCCATATTCTAGATAGACCTCGGCTATGCGTTCTTTCGGTTTTGGATCTAGGGACTTAAATCTTTCAATTGCTTCTCGGTAGGCATTTAGTGCATTCTCTAGATGCCCAAGATCTCTTTCCCTTCGGGCATCATTTAAGTGTGTCTCAGCCTTATCGGCCTTATCAGCTTTATCAGCTTTATTGTAACGCTTCCTAAATAATCTATGCATCATTTATAAATTCTTTCGATATTTTTTGGGGGGAGAAATGAATTTTAAATACTTATAAATTATACGAAACAAAGACAATATATGTACCACTCAAACGATGGTTAACATTCCTTGTTGGGATGTAATATTCAATGTAGTACATACTAACGGCCGATTATAGGCTTGAGCAACATTGTATATAAGCGAATTTTGATTGCATGCATTATTTGCAATAAAAAGCATAAAAATTTTATTTAGTGTAAAGCATTCGTATTATCTTGTTTGCGATTTTCGACTTCAAATTTGTAAATCAGAATTTTCGCCAATTTGAAGCCCATCCTTGATAAAATCTGATGAAAGACCTTGGTTCTAAAGCTCAAGACCAGAACTGATTAAAGTACAATCGATCTGTGAGGGTCCATTACTTCAAGGCTTGAGGCGTAATAAAAATTTGCTTCAAAATTTCTTTTTCCTATATTATAAACTATTCTTACTGGATGTATCCTAGACTACATAAAACACTTTTAACATCTTAAAAATATGTCCAAAGTTTACTATTATAGAGGTTAGCCTTATTTATATATAGGGCTGTTAAAAAGTTTGTTTAAGTCGGTTTTTGAGTATACTTTTTATGAGTTACTCAGAATTCGGACTTCAGGTTTGAAGGAACCGTCTCTGGATAGTCACCTGATAGTGTAATTGTTATGTATTATCATATTATTAATTGTTCAAGTGATAATTGTTTGATTTCATTTGTTTAGAAAATAAAGTAACAAAAGCAACAATTATCGAATAAGTTCGGTTTTATTTATATAACTTTGTGATATTTATAAACAGTTATTGTTAAAATGATGTAAGATAATCAAACAAACGTCTTTAAAAAAACAAAAAAAAATGATAACGAATGTTAATAAAGTAATGATTTCACTATAAAATAATGTCATTTTTTTTCATTTATTTGCCAATGTCTAATTTCAATTCATCAACTTCTATACCCTTCGCAAGTTCATTAATTACGACATCTATAATTCCACATTTATCTATTGATCATTTGATTGAAGATATATCAAGTTCTACTGAAAGTAATGATAGTTTTGAAGAAGAATTTTTGAATAACATAATCTGTAATATTAAAAAATTAAAAAATAAACACAAACCTGCTCCTATTTATGATTACCTTAATGCACTTGAAGATGAATCTCGTAATTGTAAACTTTGTAATAACAAATGGGGTGCAAGTACTTCATTATCAACTATAACACAACATTTTGAAAACAAACATCCACATACCTTTAAAGATCTCCAATGGATTACCACAAAATTTCCATATCCTTTATATTCGACAACTGAAAGAATTGAAAAAAACCATATAGAATCGTTAAATAAGGATTTATGGGAATGCATTATAGTTAATCAATTACCTTTTTCTATAGTTGAAGAAACTTCTTTTATTAAATTATTTATTAACCTTGATTCACGATATAAAACCCCTTGTCATCAAACACTATCGGTAATAATTAAAAAACAATTTCAATTAGCTAAAGAAAAAGTCAAAAATATTTTAAAAAATATTTTAAGCATATTGGCATTTACAATAGATGTTTGGACAGCATGTACGCAACAATGCTTTCTCGGAATTACTGTTTATTGGATCGATACTGACTGGACAACAAAGACTCTTCTTCTTGATTTTATTCCTTTACACGATTCTTATACTGGTAAATATCTTGGTGAAACAATTTTTAAGCTTATAGAAGATTTAGAAATTAAGGACAAAATAATCAGATTTACAGGAGATAATGCGGCAAACAATCAAACATGTTTTAATTATCTTCAAAAAGCTATAAGTACTGATCTTATATATGTATGGTGTGTGGCACATGTTTTGAATCTTGTTGTCAAAGCAGGTTAAAAAAAATATGTTAGTCAGATAAAAAAAGTATGACAATTTTGCAACAAAATATGGAACTCACCTTTACTTTTGGAAAATATAAAGAGAATTTCTGCTATTATAGGTCTTCCATTTCTTCATCCTATACTCGATATCGAAACAAGATAGAACTCTACCTATATAATCTTGAATGATTTATCGAAATTCGAAATATTATTGATGGTCTTGTACAATCTCACTCAGAATTAAAAGAAATCTATCTTGAACCTGGTGATTGGGAAATAATTAAAGACATGATTCAACTTCTTAAACCTTTCTATAAAGCAACACTGGTTTTATCAAGTAATTCATTATTTTCACACGGATCTTTGTGATTAATTATTAAGGGACTTTTTGCGCATTTGGATTGCTATACTCAAAATATTAGTATATATAAGGAAATAGCACAAAATATGAAAAATAAACTGATGAATTA